GATAGCAGAGCCGGGGGGGCTGCGGCAGGCTGGAGGGGTGGTGGAGGCGGGGGATGAGTGGGCGCGGGCGGGCGGAGCCTGAAAGTCTTGTCGGGGAGCGGGGGAAGGCGTGAGTGCGCGGAGTGGGGGGATGCTGGAGAAGGGGGCCCAGGGACAGCTGGGAGCCACGTTGGAATCAGGGGAGGATGAGCCCTGGGACTCCCAAAGCCCCTCAGCCCAAAACTCCCTCTGCATGGCTGAGCAGGACCCGGGACAGGCGGGAGATGCCCCGGACCCACAGAACCCCCCAGCAGCTGTGGGAAGAGGGACCATCATAAACCCAATGTAAGGACCCTGGAAACAGGGAACTCCTGGGAGAGGTTTTTGGGTTTCCTCCTTGATTTTTGGAGGATTTTCTGGCTACCAGACACTCGGTGGCTTCTAGGTATGCACTTGGCCAGTGGGATCTTCAAAGGCAATGCACTTATTATAAATTGAGGTGAATAATTTGATTCAGCCTTTTAAGATCAATTACTAATTTTATTAATTACAGCAAGCGATAACAAGCAAACAGCGCTGGGTGCAGTTGGGGTGTCCGTGCTCCGCCAAGGGCTGACACCCCTCCCTCTCTTTGGTCACTTTTTATACTTTTCTTGAGAGTTTCACATACATACCTCCCCTGCGTTGTACTGGGCTGGCAACAGCAGATTTCACAAGCTGGGTGATCGGTCTCTTCTGCTCCGGTTACCAGTTTCAGCCTGTCCTGCAAGATCTTTCTTACATATAAAGTCATTACTTTGTTTCATTATATTTGCTTGCAGTTACCAGCCTTGCCCAAGCCTGCAAGTTCCATGCCCCAACCCCTACATTTTATCTCTATCCTAATTTCACATTGATGAACAAACAAGTCAATGCAGTTTTTTACACACTCAGCTCTTGTTTTTAACCCTGAAGCAGGATTTCCGATTCCCAAGCCTTATCTGTAGAGAGGAGGAGGCTGTGTTGAAGCGGAATTTGCCCCAGGACCCCCAGGCAGGTGAGGAGGAAGGCAGTGCCCCTTTCCCCCTCTCTCCTGCTCCATCTCCCAGCCCAGCAGGGCCCCCGGCTGCAGGACAGCCCTGCTGCTGATGCTCTCCTGCTGGGGAGGCACTGGGGGGATCTCCTTGCCCTTCCCTCTGGCAGGGAGGCAAATCCCATCCTCACCTTGTCCTTCCTCCCCTAGCCAAGGAGCTGAGGATGCAGACCAGGAAGAAAAAATCCCTTCGGAAGAACTTCGTGGCTGAGGCCCTTTTGAGTGGCTCCTTGGTGCAGGAATCCAACGGGGAGGAAAAGCCCCGGAGATCCTGCAGGAGGAGGGGCTGCAAACCCATCCCAGGGTGCTCTGAGGAGGAAAGACCCACCCCGTGTGAGGAAGGCAGCCAGAGATCTGGCCAGGGCTCTGAGGTGGTGGTCCATGAGAAGCTTGATGATGGCACGAAGTCCCACAAGTGCTTGGAATGTGGGAAGAGTTTCCAAAAGCGCTCCCACCTGGTCTGCCACCAGAGGATCCACACTGGGGAACGGCCCTACAAGTGTGGGGAATGTGGGAAGAGCTTCAAGTTCAGCTCCCACTTGACAGACCACCAAAGCATCCACACCGGGGAACAGCCCTACGAGTGCGGGGAATGTGGGAGGAGGTTCCGCCTGAGACACCAGCTGGTCCAGCATCAGAGGACCCACACCGGGGAGAGGCCCTACGAGTGCGGGGAATGTGGAATGAGGTTCAGCGTCAGCTCCCAGCTGATCGTCCACCAGAGGACCCACACTGATGAACGGCCCTATGAGTGTGGGGAGTGTGGGAAGGGCTTCACGAAGAGCTCCCACCTGCACCGCCACCAGATGATCCACACGGGGATACGACCCTATGTGTGTGGGGAATGTGGGAAGGGCTTCCGTGACAGCACTCTCCTGATCATCCACCAGGCAATGCACACTGGGGAAAGCCCCTACATGTGCTCAGAATGTGGGAAGAGCTTCATGGTGAACTCCATGCTGAAGGTCCACCAGAGGATCCACACCGGGGAGCAGCCCTACAAATGTGGGGAATGTGGGAAGGGCTTTAGGCAGAAAGGTAACCTTATAACACACCAGAGGATCCACACTGGGGAGAGGCCCTATGATTGTGAGGACTGTGGGAAGAGTTTCAGACACTACTCCAGCGTGATTGTTCACCAGAGGATCCACACTGGGGAGAGGCCCTACAAGTGCAGGAAATGTGGGAAAAGCTTTCACCAGAGAACCAGCCTGAGTGTCCACCAGAGGACCCACACTCGGGAGAGGCCCTATGAGTGTTGTGAGTGTGGGGAGAGGTTTCAGAGCAGATACCGTCTCCTCAAGCATCAGAGGATTCACACAGAGTAGAGGCCCTTCCACTGTCCCGATTGCAGGAAGGCCATTAAGAAAGACTCCACTCAGTCACCCATCAGTCGATCCACACTGGGGAGAGCCCCTAATAGTGTCCCAAGAGTGGGAAGAGCGTATCCCAGACCTTTACAGTAAAGCAGCAGGAAGAGAGGCTGGAGTAAGAGAAGCGCACCAAGTGCTCTGTGTGCGGGAGGACCTTTTGCGCTGCTCCAATTCCATCCCCCATTGGAAGACCCCCATGGGGTGATGCACAGTGGCCCTCGTTGGGCAGAGACTCAGTGCTGGTGCTGAGTGATTCACTGGCTGGTGGTCTCCACATGTTCCTGGCTCTGTTTGGGCACCTGGATGCAAGAGGAGATGAAGGGGACATGGCCTTGGACAGTGATATGGGGAGTCATGGACATGGAGGGAGATATGGGTGACATGGGCATGGGTGGAGGTGGACATTATGGTGTTTGTTTTGGATTGTCATTTGCTCCTAGTAACCAGTTTTATAACTGCTCCCCTATTTTGTATGGTTATAGCATATTTTATTGGCTATGGGTTTTTCCTATCTCTCCTATGTTGGTGTTTTTACCCTAGGTGTCCCTCTCCCCAAAGTCCTGCCCTTTTGTTCCCTGTCCCTGCTCCCATTGAGTGTCAGCCCCTTCCCGTGCCTGCCCCTTTCTCTAGAAACTTCCCTCTCCATTTTGTATCCTTGGAGGAGGCCCCAAGGATTGGTTTCAGTTGTTC